ACATTTTAGTACGGTGGATTTGTGCTTCCTACACTGTAGAGGGGACTGGTTTGCAAGATTAGAACTCCAACAATCAAAGTGAAAAAATCATTAATAACATGTGAGTGAGAGTGAATTTGATGTAAGTGGAAAATCTTATCTATCGATTATATGAAATTAGAACATCAATACTTACTTGTTGAAGTCGTGATTTAGAATCTCGAAAAGATGAATGACCAGATCTTCCTCTGTATCTCACACTCCCATTCATAACTCTCAATGGGGCAAGTTGTGGAGCCGTCAATTATATATATATATATATATATATATATATATATATATATATATATATATATATATATATATATATATATATATATATATATATATATATATATATATATATATATATATATATATATATATATATATATATATATATATATATATATATATATATATATATATATATATATATATAGGACTAGAAAATAGACAATAATGATAATAACAATTAACACTATATTATTTTTGTTTTTTTTTATAATAAGACAAGAATAAAAGGAATTAAGAATCATGTTTTTGTGTTTTTTATGATAAGACAAGAATAAAAGGAATTAAAAATCATGTTTTTTGTGTTTTTTATGATAAGACAAGAATAAACAGAATTAAAAATTATGATTTTGTATTTTTTATAATAAGACAAGAATGAAAAGAATTAAAAATCATGTTTTTGTGTTTTTTTATGATAAGACAAGAATAAAAAGAATTACAAATTATGTTTTTGTGTTTTTTATAAAATGAAAATATTAATAAAAAAATTAAAAATAAAATTAATTAATAAAAATAAAAATTTACATTAAATATCTAATTAAATCTAAATAAATTAAATGATTATTTAAATTAAAATGATTAAAAAACAAAATAAAAAGTTGGGTAGAAAAGTGCTCGAAAAAATAAAATAAACACACCAAAATAATCAGCGCGAAATAAACATATTGGAAAAATATAGTGTTTGGTCAGTTTTGAAATAAATTTAGACCGGTTTGTCTGTAAATCCAACAATTTATTCTGACTGACGTTTCAGACACTATGCAAGATGAAGTGCATGTTATGTTATGCAGACGATGTGAAACAAAATAAAAAATAGAATCTTAGTATAAAAAATTAGGGTATGACAGGTTTTAGGCATTTGTGGTAAGGAATGAAGGCAACGCGTGTGATACATGATATGCTTCAAGGCAAGTTCCATATCACACTTAGGTCTATGGTAGAAATTGATCTTTATGAATTCAACGAGTCCTTTCTTTATTTTGGATAGTAAATCAACGCCTGCTCAAACTAAACATGTCGGGTTATCCTCGAGCTGGCCGGCCTCTAACTCTCTATTTAGAAATGACTTCATGGACTTCATCTAGCCCCTGGTCGATACATTTAGCTTGTCGTCTTGGAGGGCTTCATCCTCCCGTACATTGAGATTGACTATGTTGGTTATTTCGTTGACCTTATTTCTCGTTTTGTTAGGAGCGACGACAAATGACAGATAGTTCTTCAATGTTGCCTCATGTATAAGACATTTTACACGTAATTCAACTTTAACAAGGACTAGTTGGTCTGAATCATTATGGTATTTCATCTTCAAATCGTCTTTATACACTTCGGTGTCCGACATTGCAAGGAATGATTTCCCAAAAATGTTGTTGTAGACGGTTTCACAAGGAATCACGAACAAAAAAGCATATTCAGAGTTGTCTAGTTTTTCCCGTCGCCGAAGGAAAACTGCAGATTTGCTATTCTACATGGTCGAGTTAAAGAGTCATTAAACACAATGAGACTCATGCCTTCGCTTCTTGATCTGCATACTACTCAGTGACTTAGGCTTTTCCTCTCTAGACAGCTTTTGGCTAATCAAATCGATGACGGAGATCAAAGATGATTCTGAGTTAGAAGGATCTAACGTGCTCTAGGAAGCATGATCGAGAGTTGTTTTCTTTAGCATAACGTGACTACTACTACATTCGTGAAATCAGAAGTCGATTCTCACATACAATGTTACTATTCTGTTTAGAATAAAAAATTATATGTGAAATGATGAGGTAACATTTTAGTACGGTGGATTTGTGCTTCCTACACTGTAGAGGGGACTGGTTTGCAAGATTAGAACTCCAACAATCAAAGTGAAAAAATCATTAATAACATGTGAGTGAGAGTGAATTTGATGTAAGTGGGAAATCTTATCTATCGATTATATGAAATTAGAACATTAATAATTACTTGTTGAAGTCGTGATTCAGAATCTCGAAAAGATAAATGACCAGATCTTCCTCTGTATCTCACACTCCCATTCACAACTCCCAATGAGGCAAGTTATGGAGTCGTCAGTTATGTTTCTGATTCTTCTTGTGATTATAGAGGGGACCTAGCCATATAATATATATAACCCTAGTCCCTACCTATTATGGCCCCAAGGTTAAAGCCCGCAATTTTACCCATGCGAATCAGGTTTCAGATACTCAGCCATTAGTTAAAAAGGATCACTTAATTAACAAAAGGGCTTATATATGTACCCCCATCAGAACCACGATTAACTTGTTTTTTACAAACTAAACCATAATTGATTGTAGCCCATAAAAAGTTAGATAAATCTAACATTCTCCCACTTGGGCAAATCAATTGTATGATTTTTATTTTATAATACATTTTGAAAATGACTCTCGGGTTAATGACTAATTTCTTAAAATGCGATTGCATTTTAAGAAAATTCATGATTTTAGGTGCATTATCTGAATATGACTCCATCCAACAAAAGCCCAGCAGTATTGAATCACAACGCTTATTATATCCTTCATTGACATAAAACCTTCAATGGTTACAAATACTACATACTCCGTCAACTAGTCATCAGTGTGGAGTGTGGCAAGAAAATAACATGCTAATGTGATCCAACAACCAACTGTTATTTTCTTTGTCAGTCCTTAACAATTTCTCTCAAATGCATTAAAACCAAAGAAATTGTATGGTTTTACAAACCATAATGCCTCAGCTCCAATATGGCGTCGACCACTGGCATAGTGGTCCTGACAACGTCGAGCTTAAAATATACCTCAGCTCCAATGTGGCATCAACCACCGGTATAGTGGTCTCGAAGACACCGAGCTTAAAATTATAACCATGCCTTGAACTCCAAACTAGTGTCGACCATAGGCACAGTGGTTTCGATGACACTGAGTCTCAATTTTAGCAATTTACATATAAATAAACAATGACAAATAATAATAATAATAATAATAATAATAATAATAATAATAATAATAATAATAATAATAATAATAATAATAATAATAATAATAATAATAATAATAATAATAATTGTAATATCAATTGCTTAAAATAGAAAGTACTTGACAATCCAACACTTAAAGTGTCCAAAATAAAATATAATATGATAAGAAAATGACATAAAGAACAAACTCCCACTAACCAAGTACGTCAAAAAAACTCACAACGCTCATGCTCTCAACATGGTTTTTGAACATAATGGGCCTAAGTCCCTTAGTTAGGGAGCTAGCATGAAATCAGTACCAATGTACTCAATAACAATGTCATTTGTCTTTACAATATCTCTGACTGTCAAATACTTCAACTCTAAATGCTTAGAACCGCTAGAAGTTTTTATTATTCTTAGAGTAGAACATAGTTGCATTGTTATCATAGTAAAACTTTGGTGTATTTGTAATGGAATCAACAATACGAAGTCCAGCCACTAAATTTCTCAACCAAACAACATGAGTGGCAGCAACAGAACAAGCAAAAAAACTCTGCCTGCATAGTAACAGAGGCGACAAGAGTTTTCTTTTACTCTTCCATGATATCGCACCTCCAACCAACATAAAAATGTAACTAGAAGTAGATTTCCTATCATCAACACACCCAGCAAGATTAGAGTCAGTATACCCAACTGTTTCCAAGTTTTCAACTCTCCTAAAAACAAGCATATACTCTTTAGTTCTCTACAAATATCTCATCACTTTCTTAGCCACAACCCAATGATCATTCCCAGGATTAGACTGATATCGCCCCAAGACGCCAACTATGAAAGCAATGTCAGGCGTAATGCATACTTAAGCATACATCAGACTGCCCAATGCACTGTCAAAGGGTTTTCCCTTCATCTCTGCCCGCTCAATCTCATTTTTAGGACATTGATCTTTACTAAAGTTGTCTCCTTTAGTAATTAGAACATCTCCTGGCTTACAGTTCTGCATATTAAACCTCTCTAGAACTCTATCAATATAAGCCCTCTGTGACAAACCAAGCACACCACGTGATCTATCTCTGTGTATTTCAATTCCCAACACAAAGGATGCGTCACCAAGATCTTTCATATCAAATAACTTGGTTAGCATAAGTTTGGTTTCATGAAGTAGACCAAGATCACTACTGGCAAGCAAAATATCATCAATCAGGTTTACTCACACCAATCAGGTTTCAGATACTCACTCATTAGTTAAAAAGGATCACTTAATTAATAAAATAACTTATATATATATACCCAATCAGAATCACGATTAATCCATTTTTCACAAAATAAACCACAATTGATTGTACCCCATAAAAAGTTAGATAGATCTAACATTTTAATCATATATATTTTTTCACGTGAGATCTTTTATATATGAAAATATGTTTAAGTGTGTGAAATCTGAATAAGACAGTTGGACTTTTGGCTTTCAAAACAATTAGAATTTATATATATTGAGCGGTTCATCCTGATTGTTGGAGGTCTCGTGTTCCACGTTTTTGGTTAATGAGTCAGGTAGGCCCACGGTACAACAACCAAAATTGAAAGTTGTTGGTAATATAATTGATGATCTGTAATTATTGCTTTTACACTTAGATCATGATACACTAGCATGTGCCTTTATATAACCTTAATTTGGCGTTGCTTCTTCAGCAGCATAATCATTCACACACAATAATAATAGTACAATATTTTCCTCTGGAGAGAGAATAACAAAAAGATGGGCAATGCAGGAGAGATAGTGAATGTAGAAGCAGAATCATTAATGCCTCTTCCTCTGGTTTCAATGAACCACGTCTCTTTTGTTTGTAGGAGTGTGCAAGAATCTGTGAAATTCTATGAAAATGTCCTCGGATTTGTCCTTATTAAGAGGCCATCTTCCTTCAATTTTCAAGGAGCTTGGTACTAAAACTTTTAACTACTCTTTTATATGTTTATTTTGATAGTTTTTGGGTTAATAATAATAATAATAATATGGATTTATTGAATAGGTTATTCAACTATGGCATTGGCATTCACCTACTAGAGTCAGATAAAGTTCCAGTGAAAAGAAGAGAGATCAACCCAAAAGAAAACCATATTTCGTTTCAGTGTTCAGACATGAAGATTATAATGAAGAAGCTTGAAGCAATGAAGATAGAATATGTGACAGCAGTTGTGAAAGATGGTGGAATTAAGGTTGATCAGCTCTTCTTTCATGATCCAGATGGTTATATGATTGAAATATGCAACTGCCAAAATCTACCTGTGCTTCCTATTTCCACTACTAAAGAAATCCAAACCCCACCCTTTTATGGTATATATCATATCTCTTCTCATCTTTCTTAATTGTTTCTTTTAGTTATTATTAAAAGGCTAAATAACTATTAAAATGGAAAGTGATTGTTCTCTATTTGGATGATTTTGGTTTTGCAGGAGAAGCAAAGAACTATTATGCACAAGATGTTTTGTTGATGATGGATAAATTGATGATAGATATGTTAAGGATTTCAATATGAGGATCTTCTTGCGGTTCACATAGTTCCCTAAACATTTTGCAAAATCTTCGTGTACGGTGGATAAATTTGAACCGTTCGATTGAAATTGATCGGTTCATTGTTTTTTTGTGTGTAAACGAGTCGGTTTGAGACGGTTGTTGTTGATTACGTTATTTAATTTTGATAATATAGAATGGTTTTGATCAAATTTGTATAATTATGTTAAACTCATTGAAAATCGAGATCAGTTCATAATATATCACTATATATATATAGTGTTATTGTCTACTCATGATATAATACAATGTACCTCCAATATAAAATTTGGAGGATTTTTATTTTGTTTGTACTCTCTATCATAAATTATTACAAATCACTTTTATGTAAAACACAAATTGTTCCAAAATATAAGCAAATTTAGTGACATGTTTTTAAATGTACCATCTACTATTACTTTAGTTAGGGCTGGAAATGAGTCGAGTCGAGTCGAACTCACCTCAGTTCGGTTTGACTCGTTAAAATTGATTCGAGTTTGAGTTTAACACAAATTTTTTTTTAAGCTCAAACTCGACTCGTTATAAATTCACGAACAATTTGGTTCAACTCGTTAGATTCATCTCATTAGGTTCAGCTCACATGATTCACGGACTTAAAAACTATTTTTTAAATATATATATTTTTTAGTATATTTGACATTTTAAATAAATATATTTTTTAAAAATAAAATATTAAAATAAAATAAAAATTATCATATTGAAATTTAACTTTATCATCAAAATCTACTGATTCAAAACCTACACAACTTTCAATAGATACATTTGAGAGTCTAATTCAAAAACTATTAAATTGAAGATTAAATTTGTCTAAGATTTAGAGTAAATATTTAAACCTAATAGTAAAGACAGTATAATTCTTCTCAAATGTAATCGAGTTGACTCATGAACCTAACGAGTCGAACTATGTATAGTTCAAGTTCAGTTTATTTAGTTAACGAACTTAATTTTTCGCTTACTCAACTCGTTTGGTTCATGAACCTAGTTCAATAATTTAATTATCAAATCGAATTTCAAACTATTTTCGAGTTGGTTCGGTTCATTGTCAGCCCTAACCTCAGCTTATTAACATTAATTGATTTAAAGAAAAAACTTGTTTCATAATATAAATTGTTTATATTATATCATAATATAAATGGTTTTATAATATTAATAAATTATTAATATTATTTTTATTATTATATTTTAAAATATTTATTATATTTATTATTCTCTCTTTTCAATTATATATATTTATCTTTTCAATATCATTAATATAAGATAATCCGTAAATACTTAAAATTTCTTCAGTCAAAACTGGAATTTTAAAAATAAAGCAATAATTTGTATTGAATTGAAGCTTTAGATTCAATATCTATTCAAACCGACCAATTATTCCAGCGTGTGAAATAATTTGTATAGAGAGTGAATGTTATGGTCACAATGAGAATGATCTCTATCACAAGACACGACAACCATGAATGGTGCAGCAACCACGTGATAACAACAGTGATTTTTTGCATGACAGCTGCTACATTGTACCAACAGAATCAAATACTGACACCTAACCCTCTTGAGCGTTTTCAATTTTCTCTTTTAAAATAGTTAGATAGATATCTCTGCGTCCGCAGGGTTAAAATATATTAAATTCACAGAAATGGCTTCATCTTGTAAATTATATTCAATGCTATATAAACACGTTTTTAAGACTTGCATAGCTAATCAATGTTTACACTTTTTACATGACTCTCTCATAAAGGTCATACACATGCCAACTCACACTCAAACAAACATTGCATAACAACCTCAGATATTACAATAACTCCTGGAAATAGTGAAATTTGACGAAGAAAGAAAGTCTCTTAGGACTTGGCAGTGAAGTGTTGTTTTCATCATATGTATAAGAAAGTATAATGTTGATTCAAGCATACTTTTCAATTTTAAGTTTCAACAGAGACTTAAACTCTATTTTAAATTGTTATAAATACTTTCGCAAATATGAGAAATGAAACAGCAGTATTGCTACAATATTTATATGAGACTAATTAACACAGTAGACACTTAGTAGTTATAAAAACATTGGAAATTTAGAAAATGAAACAATAATAAATTATGTGACATAATATTTGATTGGTTTGTAGGTATATTGAAATATGAATAACATATATGGTGATCTTCAAAAGAGAAATGCAAAATTTTTAAAAATTTTATTTTCATCAACGCATTTCTAAAGATATATGGTCATCAATCGAGAGTCATAACATATCCGTCATAATAGATGTTACAGAGAGCTCTACGATTTTAGAAGTCAAATCCCTTCAGAGGCGAGCTGCTTCTGAATCTTCTACGACTGAACTTTTGCCCTCAGCAATGTCACGAAATTTGGCTTGATGTCTTTCTCATTGCCTTTCATACTATATATAATAGTGTCGGTAATTACAACTCATAATAACTAATTATAGCTGATAATAACTAATTACAATTCATAATGACTAATTTCCTATTCTATGAATGTAAATTATTCACAATAACTGCAAAGATTATTTCCTAATTAACATCCCCCCTCAAATTGATGCGGCTGGTCAAGGAGCATCAATTTGCTAACAAGAAACTGATGTCTTGGGCGTGGAACAGCCTTGGTAAGAATATCTGCAACCTGCAATTGCGTACTGACGTGAGGAAGTGATATTATTCGATCATCGTAGGCGTCACGTATTGAATGACAATCAACTTCGATATGTTTGGTGCGTTCATGAAAAACAGGATTTGCAACAATTTGGATGGCACTTGTATTGTCAGCATAAAGTGAAGTTGACTCTGTTTGGGGAAATCCAAGTTCAGCCAAAAGACCACGAAGCCAAAGTATTTCTGAACACGCAGCAGACATGGCACGATACTCTGATTCAGTAGAAGATTTAGAAACTCTTGCTTGCTTCTTACTTTTCCAAGAGATCAATGAAGAACCAAGAAACATACACCAACCAGTAACAGATCGACGAGTATCAGGACACCCTGCCCAATCAGCATCACTATAAGCGCTCAACTGAAGAGAAGTTCCAACGGAAAAGAATAATCCGCGGTGAGAGGTTCCTTTTAAGTAGCGAATTATACGACGAACTGCAGCCAAGTGAAGATGGCGAGGAGAATGCATGAATTGACTTACTTGTTGAACAGCAAAAGATATGTCAGGGCGAGTAATAGTCAAGTAGTTAAGGCTACCCACAAGTTGTCGATACAATAAGGGATCAGGCAACAGATCCTCATCATCACGATGATATTTAACATTAACCTCAAGAGGAGTATCTACTGGATTAGCCGATTCAAGACCGGCCATATAAATCAAATCTGTAGCATACTTGTGTTGATGGAGAAAGATGCCCTTGGATGTAGAATGAACCTCAAGACCAAGAAAATAATGTAGATTACCCAGATCTTTCATATGAAATGAGGCCTGTAATTGTTGCTTAAGTCGCTGAATGGAAGCATGATCCGAACCAGTAATAACCATATCATCAACATACAAAAGAAGCAGAACAATACCCGCAGATGTGCTATGAATAAATAAAGATGAATCATACTGACTCTGAGTAAAGGAGAATCCAAGTATAGTGGCGCGGAATTTCTCGTACCATGCTCGAGGTGCCTGTTTCAAACCATATAAGGAGCGTTTGAGCTTACACACGCCTTTAGATGAAGAGAATAAGCCTTGAGGTGGAGTCATATAAATATCTTCTGTCAGGTCACCATGAAGAAAAGCACTCTTCACATCCATTTGATGAAGAGTCCACCCATTAGAAGCAGCTATAGACATGATTGTGCGGACAGTTGTCATTTTGGAAACCGGTGCAAATGTCTCATCATAATCAATTCCATATTCCTGCTTGTTTCCTAACGCAACCAAACGAGCCTTGTAACGGTTGAGGGACCCATCAGAATTCAGTTTCACAGAATACACCCATTTGCAACCTATAGGTTTTACATTTGGAGGACAAGTGACGATATCCCATGTGAAATTCTCTTGAAGAGCTTGGAGCTCTTCAGTCATTGCTTTTATCCATCGCACATCTTTAACAGCCTGTGAGTAACAAGTAGGAATAGATATGCTAGAGAGTGTGGCAGTCAGAGAAGTATGTGAGGAATCATACCTGTCTGGTGAATATCTATCTGGTGCGCGGGATATTCGACCAGAACGTCGTGGTTCAACCGGTACAGGATCAGGTGGCAGTTCAGCATCGGGAAGGGGTGTGGGAACCTGTTGTCTGTGTTTTCTGACATATACATGACCTGGTTTATAACGTTCTATAGCTTGAGGCATAATAGAAAACTTAGGAAGAGTAACAATATCATTAATGGCAGGAGAACCACAGGGAAACATAAACTGATTATCAAAAAATTTCACATTTCTAGAAATGCGAAAACGATGGTTAGAGACATCATAACACACAAATCCCTTATGAGAGTTACTATATCCCATAAATGCACATTGAACGGATTGTGCTCCAAGCTTATGCCTTTCAAAAGGAGGTAAGTGAACAAAACACACACACCCAAAAGTATGTAAAGCACTATAATCAGGATGAATTTTAAATAGACGGAAGAAAGGAGAATCAAGATCAATAACTGTAGAAGGAATACGATTGATCAAGAAGACAGCCGTGGAAAGAGCCTCCACCCAAAATCGGGATGGTACAGAAGCTTGGAGAAGTAAGGTGCGTGTTACATCAAGCAAATGACGATTCTTACGTTCTGCCGTGCCATTTTGTTGAGGGGTATTGGGACAAGACCGTTGAGACAAGATGCCTTTTTGTTGAAGGTATTCCTGAAACTCATGAGACATGTACTCACCACCAGAGTCAGATCGAAAAATTTTAACACTTGCTTGAAATTGAGTTTCAACATATGTCAAATATTTCTTAAACATAGAAAACACTTCGGATTTAGAACGGAGAAAATATATCCAAGTAAAACGACTATAATCATCAATAAATG